GCAAGGTCCGAGCGTGCAGGCGCGATATACTTTCGGGCGCCGGGTGCAGTATGCGTCAAAGTGCTCACCAACCTCATGTCTTGTTGCTTGTGGCCTACGTCATAAGAAGGAACGCTCGAAATACTGGTGAAATAAAGCCATACCGTTGGCGGCGCCTCAATGATTGTCTGTTTGCTTGTTGATGCGGACGATGGGCATCTGGAAGATCAGCTCGACTGGGACCGTCTGTGCACGCAGATCATCGAAGGCAGAAACGCTGTAGCCAGAATCCCCCGGCTTACATAGTTAGCGTTCATGCGTGTGGATATTCGTGCCCTCAAGCTTCCCCGCGTGCGCCCTGCTGTCATCGTCAATGGTTCTCCCGTGTGTATGGCATGAGGAGTTTTCATCCGCTACTCCGTCCAGCCGACATTCCCCATGCCTGACGCTCGAATTCGACCGCTGTGAGGTCGACGCGGGGCAGCAATTCACTTCTACTCGGCATACCAAAGTACCCATTGTTGATGTCCGCTCCGAATAGCCCTAGTAATACATCCTGTGCAAGAAGTCAGAACGCCGCACGGACAAGCTGCGTGCTAATGATGTGCGTATGCGTATGAATACACGTGCGAGCGAGAACTATGCTGCGTATACTGTATTGCGCGCGCGCGCGCCATGCGTGTCCGTGCAGATCGTCCGCAAATCCTCTATGTTGAACCAGTCCGATAATGAAAAGGGTCAGGAGACCGGGCAGCCATCGGGATGGCCGCGAAGAAATGTACGAAAAACTCAAAATGCCGCGAAGATACAGGGGTTGCAGCAATTGGTCCGTTCGCGTTTGTGGAAGAGGGGGCTCCCAAGATGGACAGGCGCGAGCAGCAGCGGGAGGGAGGGGGGAGCGTATTAGGAGCTGCTGAATCGGCTACTGAGCAGACTGCCCTTCGCAGGGGTCGCTGTGCGGGTCTCAGGCTCCTTCTCTTGATTCAACGCGACGTTTTCCTCCGTAAAGGACATTGAATCCGAGTCAAACTCTGTTGATGTCGGCCGGAAAGGTCCGCGGAAGATCTTGTGCTGTGCGAAGGCCAAGACAGGGCTACGGATGGTTGTCAGTAACCTGGTGCGAAGGAGAGCCATGTGCGCGTTCACTCACATAGCGCCCAGCGATACACCGAGCAGTATCTGGGTAATCAGGGGTGGATGGTAACCCAAGTGCACGATCGCCTAAGGCGGGGAGCCGTAAGCAACATACACAATAGGTATAGAGGTGAGCTCACCAGGTAGTGAGAGCTGTTCCGGTCGAACAGGAAACGAAGGCCAGCGCTCATCCCGCTCTGCTTCTGCAGGATCAGGTCGATCCCCAGTGCAACGAGGAACGAGCCGACCGCGGCGCAGGCGGATACCTTGACACAATCTGTCAGTGATTCCTCGATAGAATAAGTAACTGTGACGTACGAGACCAAACCGTTGCCGGTAGAGCATCACGCCGAGACCGATGACCATGAACACGGCGAGTAGGAACCAATTGGCGACGTAAATGGGGATGAGCAGACCTGGTCGCAGCAGGACGATACGGATGCCGATGGAAAAGCCCCCGAGGACGCCAAGCAGCAGTATGCCCGCCATCCGCCCGATGTTGAGCACTCCAATAAGAAACCCGATTGCGAACGCCGCGAGCGATATGATGGTCAAGACAAGATCAGACAGGCCCTGAGCGGACACGGTATTGATGAATGCTGCCCAGACTGAGCACGACGTTTGATCAGCGTACACATGGACTTTGCAGGCGATCCCACACTCACCGCAGACCGTCGCAGCCAGCCCTACACCGGCACCTGTCGTGACTCGCCAGAGCCTGATGCCCGCCAGCGCCAGCGGCGCCCCCACGGTGAAAACGAATGCGAGCCAGATAATGGCGGGGACAGAGAAGTCGACCCCTCCGCCGTCTGTGGCAGGGCCCTGAGCGATGACCTCGTTTGTCGAGGGGTTCAAGACGGTGGTGTTGGTACCATCTGCAGAGGTCACGATGGTAGGGTCCATCCGTTTCCTGTGCTGGTCAAAGGTGAAGTCGACCATGGTTACAGAGGACGCGGCTGGCAGGCAGGAGGCATTGCTAGCAAGAGCGAGAAGGACGAACAGGCATGACAGGGCCGTCCAGAGGGGAGGTAAGAAGGGAGTGCTTTGGCGGACTGAAGCCGCCATGAGAGATAAAGACCGTCAGCACTGTCGGGAGCCAGAGGTGGTGATCGGCAGCTCCGTAGCAGCGATGGCTGGGCTGCTCGGAGAAGGGTCGTGCAAGGTAAGTGCGTTACGCAGACGACGAGACCTAGGTAAGGAGCGACGAAAGTGAGATAAGGAGTGTGAGGATTCGCAAGACCTGCGATGAAGCGACTTCGTCGCTGCGGAGAGAAAGTTGCTGGCAAGATCCAGGCCGGCTAATTTGGAGGTGGCGAGCGCAGTGTGAGGTGACCAGACCCAGGGCAAGCCGAGATAGCTGCAAAATGAAAGGCGCGATACCCGATGGGACCGACTTCCCGGCGGCACGTTGGGTAGCAACCACCGTTGAGGCGCAGGAACAGATGGGGATCGTGCCTGATATATCCTGAGACGCAATCTCGTCAAGAAATGGCGCTCCGCGGGTCCGCAAGGTCCTGTAGATTTTCGTTCAGTCCACTCGTTCCAGCGCAGACCGCAGACGTATGTATGCTACCACTGGACGTCTTGCTAGCGGTTATGCGGTGACCGAGTGCACTACACCAGCCGCGCCCGGGGCTTGGCGACCCGCTCTGCACCTCGGCGACTCGCACGCGAGAACAGAACGGACGAGCGGGGTTCAGCCGGATGATGGAAGATGGAGACCGCCGAAAGAGACGCTGCGCACCGACACCACGGAACCCAACTGTCAATCGCCAAATATGGAAAATCCCGACGGGCCACGTTGTTGAGGCGCGCGCCTTGAGTGGTCTCCGTCTCCTCACTGACACCAACTCCGTACGCGCACCCTGACCACTCACATGCACGATGACAGACGCACCGTCTAGGCGTACCTTGTCTGTACACACTGCAGATGCCTAGCTCGGCGTCAGAACATGCGCCCAAGTATGGACGAATCCTTCCATCATGATCATGGGGCGGGCGGCGACCTGTGGGCGCTCAGGTGGCTTGTCCGGACACCTTTGTACTCAGTCCCATATACCATATAAAAGCCTCGGACATTGTCCCGCCGTCCTGAACCTGCCACGGCTATATCTCGAGAGCGATCTCACCTTACCCTTTCGCCGAGCAGGTCGAAAGTGGCCAGCATCAACGCCAAAGTGCGCGCATAGTAGTGGTAGTGCCATTGCTTTGTACGTTGCCCATTTATATCCTCCGCCAGCCGCGTCCTAATCTATTTACTAGAAACCTATCAGCCACAGTGACCCTGAAGTGCGGAGCCAGCCTTGGGTCACTTCGGCTCGCGATCCGGGCCACCTTGATGTGTGTCGACTTTCGTCGACTTCCCTCGAACGTGACTGACTCATGAACACAGTAGTTCATCGAGCACCTGAAACTGAGGAGTGGGCGAGCTATGTGGCTTCTGAACACCAAGACATACGAACTACGGTTCTTCACGTATCCGCCTCGCTCCTACGCCATCCTCTCTCATTGCTGGGAAGAAGACGAAGTCACATTCGCCGACATCCAGGATTTGGCCAGAGCGCGGAAGAGACGCGGCTGGAAGAAGGTCGAGAACGCGTGCGCCGCCGCTCGACGATACAAGTCATCTCGGGAGAGACCGCTCGCGTGGATCTGGATAGACACATGCTGCATCGACAAGTCGAGCAGCGCCGAGCTTTCGGAAGCTATCAACGCCATGTTTGGTTGGTACCAAGAGGCGTGGATCTGTCTGGCCTTCCTCAGCGATGTCCGCGCCGATGAGGACCCACTTACCGCAGGTTCTTCTTTCCGGCGCAGCCGCTGGTTCACTCGGGGTTGGACGCTTCAGGAGCTCATTGCGCCGCATGCCGAGATGGTCTTCCTCGCGAAGGACTGGACAGCCATCGGTGATCGCGACACAATGGTTGGGCTCCTGGAGGACATCACCAGCGTCGGGCGCGCAGTGCTCTCTAACACGGCAGGAGGGCGTCTCAAAGCCATTCAGGCTACCAGCGTTGCCCAGCGCATGGCATGGGCTGCGACACGGGAGACCACCCGGCCCGAGGACAGGGCTTACTCGCTCATGGGCATCTTCCAGGTCAACATGCCTATCATCTACGGAGAAACGGGCAAGAGAGCCTTCCGCCGCCTCCAACTGGAGATCATCCGCCAGTCCCCCGACCATACCATCTTCGCGTACGGCGTGCCTATGTATAACCTCCCACCTCCCGCGCAGATCCCTTGTGACGACGCGATGATGATGAGCTTTCTACCGTGGTGGCCGAAGGACTTTCGGTTCTCCGGCAACCTCGAAACACTCCCTATGAACGCGCTCGCTAGGATCGTCGGCGTACCGGAAGTGCAGGAGCCTCATTACCAGGACACGAACTATGGCATCCGCATACAGCTTCCGTTGGCCTGTGTGGATCCACTCCGCGGTCTCTATTGCGCGCTTCTGGGCGTGCGGTGCAAATCCCGACCCGGAGACTTAGTTGGTCTGCTCCTGAAACGACACGACGACACAGACGTCTACCGGCGGCTGGACTATTCCATCATATTCCTCCCGGGGGACGCCAGTAGGAGACGAATCGTTGGCGCAGATGGAGACGATGCATCATCGCAGACTGCTCTTGAGAGCGATGCCCACCAATTTCGATGGCAAACTCGGGCTATCTACGTGTTGGTACAGGATAATGTACATTCCATCACCGGACTGTAGGCGATCGCTTTGAGATTATCGAGACTATTCGCACCTTGTGTTCCCTTTCATACCTACACACGCTGGCCACCGGCAGCTTGCTCCGAGCTGGACCAGTACTTCCAGAATACATCTGCTGCCATTGACCGGCCGGTCGAGCCTCAACACACAAAAAAGAGTTTCATGCTGATGGACATGTCCGGGATTGAACCGGACCCCTCTCGCAAATGTGCACAGAAGTGCTAAGCGAGCGTGATAACCAACTACACCACATGCCCGACAAATCGCAGACGGCTGTGAATTCTACTCCAGCGGCCCTCGATACAGTATGACTTCAAACGAGGAGGTCACTACGCAGTACTCTCTCAGTTACTGGGCGAACCTCTGCGGAGGCGGTAGCGCTACAACATGCCCTTCTACTGAACTCAACTCCCCCGCTCAGGTCTCCACCGGTATCGGTATGTTTTCAGCCGCTCGACCCGCGGCGTCCGTCCTCGCAAAGCTCGCGAGCTCGTTGCCTGTCGTCGACTCAAAGCGCCAGTCCAACGAGGTCGACGAGTGATCGGAGGACAGGCTGTGGTCGAGGTCGGCACCCATAGGGTCCACGAAGTCCGCAAACTGCACAGTCGTCGTTGCTGTCCGTCCGTGGTACGAGCGCACGAAGGATGGACGGGTCTCGTCCCCGCCGCCGCGGAAGGTGTCCCGGAGGTTGAGGAGAAAGCGAGATACGAGAATGCTCGTGATGCTGATCAAACGTTGTCGTTAGGGGTGTCGAAATGCGACAGTTGTCAGATATGTTGTGCGACACTCACGGGTCTTGGAAGGCAGATACGGCGCTGTCGTTCTGGATTTCACGGAATCAGTGACTATGAGGCCTAGAGGGGCGCATATACCTACCGGCACAGCGTTGACGACAATATTCACCACGTTGAGGATCAATAGACAGCTACAAAAGAGTCAGCAGTACGCATATATGGCGCAGGTACCGTCCGTACGCGAAGTACAGTGTTCCTGGCGGTGCTGCATCAGCTCTAATTCGTATCCAGAACATCTCCACCTACGCACCGTCTTTCAGTATGGCGTTGGTGAGCGACATCTGCACTTTCGCGACCTTGGCCGCCCTAGTGATGCCGAAGGTACTGCGCCAGGTAATGAGAAGGACGAGTAGGTCTCCAGCAATAAGGCAGACACGTCCTGCAATCGTGACTGTAGGGTTTACATATGAGGCATTTCGCCACGGTGAGCTGTCATGCGGCTACTCACAGCTACGGAAGATGATCAGCCTCGGCGCAGTACGTTACAACAGGCTCACTTACTGGATCCAGGTAATCTCTGGCAACCCGTTCGACAGGAGACAGTTGAAGGGTGGTGCGAGAGCCACCGGGGCGAGTTTTGAGTAGTATATCTGCAGGCGATGCGATAAGTGGCTGCATGTGGTTGCGGACGAGATGACGATGCAACTCACACAGTTGACGACAATGTCTGGGATGTAGAACGCAAAAATCAGGGGAGCTACCCACCACTTCCGTCCACTCAGAGCGTAGCCACGTAATGTGGAAAAGGCTTGTGAGAGGGTCAGGAACGTGCACCATCTGAACCTAGGGACTGCTCACCAGCCCAGATGAATGGCGGTCCTCCATTCCCCACTATTACCATGTACCCCACGACTTCGCACCTATACGTGGTCAGCAGTCGCAGGAGGCAGTCCGACCAGGGACATACTTCTGCTCATGCATTCAGCGGGCGATACGCACACATATGAACCAGAATTTGTGCTTACTGATTGCGACAGCGGGTATGTCGTTATGACTTGCGTGATGTATTGGAAGAACAGCCAATATCTGTTCAGCACGAACAACACCGTCGCACCCGTGGCCTTGCGACCCCAAACAAGCCGCACCTCACGGTCGAGGGTGATGACGTACTCAAACGCGAGCAAAGCTATGTCCTGGGTCTTAGGATACACGCCGAAGGGGGAGGACGGAAGCACAGCTACCCACCGAACGCCGCGAGCGTGTAGTATGTCTCATTGATCCTATCGCGTGCCATTGGGTGTCAGCTCATTGCTTAGCGTTAGAACGGCTGCTACAACATAGATGCTCACAATGTTTCAACAGCAGCAGCGTACTCCCCGGAAGCAGACATCCTAGAGACTGCGCCCTTGGACGTGGCGGTCCTGACGAAGAGTGGTCTGGTCAGCAACAGCTGGAGGTTGCAGCGTTAGAGCCCACCGTTGGGAGTCCCTTACGCATGAGGTTTAGCGTATCTGATGTGATATGACTGGGAAAGGCTTGAAATTCGCTTGCGAGCAGGATTGGTCGCTGGCGTCGCTCCTGGAGCACGGTTCCGGGTACGCCGGAAATGAATGCTTCATCAGTATCTCGGCTAAATGGAGTTAGTTCAACCTAGACGTGCGCTCGGATCCCTGGGATAGGAGTCGGACGCGAAGAAAAGGACGTGTGCAAGCTGGGGCGAGGGGGCCGTGGTGGATTTCCCGGTATAAGTCAAAGAATTCAGGGAAACTTGTAGATGTCTATTCTCTTCATGGGCTGGCGAGTCGCAATGGCAGCTGCAGAGCGATTCCACTTCGCTGGTGTCCACACTTGAGCCAGCAGTTCATTTAAGAGGTTTATGCAGTCAGACATGATCTTGACGAAGTGTGTCCGAATGACCCTCATCCGGAAATTGCGCTCAGGCCTCCCTGATGGCCGGTGCTGCAGCATGGTCGGCTGGATGCACGGTGCAACGACAACACCCCTTGATAGCGCCAGAGACCGAGTATACTCGAGAAAATAGGGAAACACAAGACTCGTGATTCGAGGACAGCAGGTGCAGCTCGCCGTGCGTGCACGTCTTCGTCGTGGTGAGGAAATGTACTTGGGCGCTTAACCATTCACGCGAGTTGTATTCGACCACCGCGACGGGGCGCAAGTTCTGGCATGTGCCACTGCAAGCTCAAATCCCCATTCTCTTCCAGTGGCAAGCACCGTCCTTGTGACTAGGTACTACAGGCAGTATGTCTACCGTACGTTTCTTCATTACCTCTGGAGTTGTTGCACTGGCAGAAATGGCGCGTTTCGACTAAGTACTTACTCACTGAGTAGCAGCCCTGGGAAGACGTGCATGGTGCCATTGCGTTCAGGCGCTCGGCTGGCGTAGCAATGGCGCCTCCCTCATACAACGACAGCCTAGCGGAGGTGACCCGTATTCTGCATCACCTGGGCGGACCAAGGACCTCAGCAGAGGAACTCGAGTGGGCTCAGGATATCCCCGCCGGCAAGCAATTGCTTGAATGGCTACCAAGCCAGAATTCCGTCGCTGAACTCGACCTTCTGAACTCGGTGAACGAACGACTCGGCCATATGGAGCTAACTGAAGACGCACTATGCCAAACAGTTCTGAGCCCTATCGCACTACATCAAGACGAGATTCACGTGTGCGTGCGGACGCGACGCTGGTTGGACAAACCCTCGTTGACCCCTTGGATAGGTCCGAACGTATATCCCAGGATGAAGCAGTCACCACATGTTCGTCGCGCTTGCGATCCGATGAGAACGCGAGGCTTCGTGCATCGTATGCATTTCCATCGTCGCTGAGGTACAGTAATGCTGCATTCATGTCCTCTTTGGGCTCACATCCGGTGTAGGGCTCGAGCAGAAGTACTAGAACATGAAGCGGATGCGCTTGAGAAGCGTTCAGCACGCCTACAACATCGACTGGGTTTTACGAAGTACGCATGATCGCCTTTACTCGACGCGCTGCCTATTAACTGACATCCCGCGCAGGTCTGGAGAAAAGGACTTGAAGCACACAATCAGTATCAGTAGAAAGCAGATTCAGGAGTCCGACCTCACGATCAAGGAAGCAGAAGCAGGATTGACGGACCTGTCAACCGAGGTATGCATCAGTCCCTAGCAATGCCTCCTCTTGATGCAGAGGCGAATATCCTGCCAGTGTGATGACGTTGTGGCCCAATCGGCACGCCAGTCGCTTAAGCTATTAGAGAACAACCAACAGCAGGGTGAGGTCATCTCTATCGCATGCCCCCTTCATTGCTCACATGTCACTTCAACGACAGGCGCAAAGCTCAGCGGGCTGAAGGCCCAAGTCGCCTCGCTAGATCGAGCCCGGGCGGCGGTTGCAGACGCGGTCGCACGTCTCTACCAGTCACTCGACGACGAGTATAGCTCATTGCGATCGCATGACGAGTTGGAGAGGGACGCTTCTTCCCTGCGTATGCGCCTTGGAGGCATGCCCGCTGAAACCTCCCAAGCCGCCGGCCTGATATCCGCGTCCTACGTGGGGGAGCTCGAAAGCATCACTCGTCAGCTAGGCAGCCGCGGCCAAGGTGATCCTCGACAGGCTGCCGAAGTTCTGCATGGACTCGAAACACCCGATAGGCAGGAGAAGGGGTCAGCTCGGAAGGTCGTTCCGGACGTGAAGACAGAGCTTGAGCGTGCTGGACGCTGGGACCGGTTCCTGCTTCTCGAGGTACACGAACGGGAGCTTGCAGACGTGAGTCCCCACCATTGCCTCCTTTCGATGACGTCGTAATAGTGACATTCAATGCCCGTGTACCTTACAGGTTTCGCGACGGCTGCAGGATGATCTGCTCCCACGAATGCAGCGAACATACGACGCGCTGCACGAGCGTAGTGCCGTGGCGGCGGAATCAGAAGCACTCATCAGCGCCTTGATCGAAGAGCTAGAGGACGTCAACGATACCGTGGAAAGTACGAAGAATCCTCAACCGAGTCTCGCGGAAGTGCAGCCCGGCGAAGATCCAGACTATATGCTGGAGTCTGCTGTCACCGAGTTGTTGAAGTCCCTTCACCGTACGTGTCTTTTATGACTACATGGCAGACGAACTTTACTCACCATATATCAGGTTCTCGCTCAGATCACAATGGCCGTCCCACCGTACTGCTAAACCGGTCAGATGTTGACGCCGAGCTTGGTTCCCTTGCTGAGGGATACACCGCCTCTCAGAGCGCTGAGGAACGATGGGCTGCAGGCATCAAAGACCGTCTATCCAGTTTGTACGTTCCAGCGTCCCTATTACGTGTACTGCCTCTCTCACATTTGTTCTGCACATGGTAGACGCGCCAGCTGCATGCCGCTCGTCTCCGCCGCATATGATAACGCGCCGATGAACACTTCGGCGCCCTTCGCACCTCCTCGGGCGGAGACGGAGATCATACGAGCTGCCCAGCGCAAGGGCGATGAGCTGACTGAAGCGGCCGCTCGACTACAGAAGGTATGCTCTCAGATGCCAGAG